GCCGCTCCTGCGCCGCCGGGGACCTACCTGTAGATTGCCCCGCGCTCGTGACTCGCCCGCGAGAGCGTCGACGTCGCGGGCGGAGTTGCGGGCCCCGCTTGCCGCGGCGAGATCGAAGGTGGCCGTGCGCAACGCCAGCCCGCGGGCGTTCGTGGTCGAGCAGGGCCAGACGATCGCCCTACTCGTCGTGGATCGCATTTTCACGTATTCCGACGTCGTGGTCGTTGCTCACATGTCCCCATCTCTCGCGGCCCCAGTGGTTTCGGACACGCCGGCGTCGCGGGCCTCAGTTACGACCCCGTCGCGCAAGGACGGGGCACCGCAGCGCCAGCAGGGTCCGAGGGCAACTATGTCACCGAAGACTCCGCGCAGCCGCTGCGATAGGAGGAGGGCGGGTCAGCCGGCAGGGCTGGCCCAGTCGACTTGCCCTAGCAGAAGCGGGCAGCATGTCCAGGACATCCCGCCAGTGTCTTGGAAAGAGGACGGGGCGCCCCACTGGGGCGCGGCTTCGACGTCATTCGCGCCGCCAATGTCGGGAATGCTGTCGCGACGCTGGCCGACCTTACTTTTCCCAATCTCCATCAGCAGCATTGCGACGATCACGCGTGGCACGGACAGGGACGATACCCATCTCATCTCCGACTCTTTTCCCGATTGGCGCGCCCACGAGCCGCGGGTTTCGGGGCAGACGGCCGCCGCGGCCGCAGCAGAAACGACCGCCAGCTCGACAGATGATCGACGCGCACGTGCTCCTTTTGGCCGCCGCGGGCCCATGGCCCCTGAGGCCAAAAACAGCAGCGCAGTCTGGGCTGCGCTCGCCGCATCGCCCATCTGCAACCCGCGGCGCACGTGCAACGCCAAGCTCGAGGAGCACAAGGACGACAGTGCGATCCTCAACCGGAGGGCTTACACGGCCCTGATGCGCCGCGAGATTTTGCGCTGGTCGCCATGTTGCAGTTCTGCTTCCACCAGCGCGGGCGCTCCGCGTAGCGCGCGCCTGCAGCGAGGCGCGACGGCAGCTTGTGCGCCAGACTCGGAACGCTTCTTCTAGCACCATGGTTACGCGCCGCCTCGAGACCAAGCAGCGCGCCCAGTGCCGCATCGCCAATCACCGCGCTCGCGACGACAAGCCCGAGCAACCACAACAGGTGTCCGACAACCGCGCTGTCGGCACCTACCCAGCGGCAGAGAGCATGCGCCAGAAAGCATGGATAAAGGAGGGCCACGTGCCCCAAGCTCGCAACAAGGTCGTAGAGGACCACTGCGACGACCGCGTCACTGACCTCACAGGTCTGGCCCCATACTGTACTTTCTGGGCTTCCCAGCCATTGGCGAGCCAGGTCGCGCTGGCGAGTGCGACGACGATGACCTCCACGGCGGCTTTGCTTCGGGACTGCCCACGCGGTGGTTTCAGGGGTCGTCGGCCCCCGCATCGGATCGCCGTGTTGTCAGCGCGCAGACGTCGCAGTCCTCTGAGTTCAACGAGATTCACGAGTCCCTCCCCCGCCTCGCCTCCATCGACCACCTACGCCGACATCGTGGAGACTGGCGGCGCGGAGGCGCGGACCAGCCATTTCGTTCCCCGCAGCGACTACAGGGCGGGTGCCAACATCGCCGTGGTCACGGGCCGTGACATCAACGATGACAGCCAGCAGAGAGCCGTGGAGCGATACAGCCGACAACACTGGCCCCCAGTGGCCATCATGGCTCCCGCCTCGCAGCCTTTCGGTCTTTGGGCCACATTCGACCGCGAGTCCTACGGGAACGCAGCACTTCATGGACGATTCTGCGGCTACATAACGCAGCTGCAGCTACAGCTCGGCGGCTACTTCGTCAACGCGCAGGCCGACCAATCGTGGCTGCACGTTGGGCCGCCCTGGCCAGAGGTATTACCGATGCCAGGCGTACAGAAGGCCACCTTAGACCAGTGCCAAGTGACCTCGAGATCGCCGCGGGCGTATTTTGAGAAGGCCTGCCGGCCTTGTCTCCAACGCCCCAGAGATCCTCGAGCAAGTCGTGATTGATCCTCAGGTGCATCCGCGAGCTCGCAGGCGCGTGCCTCGAGGGCTACAACGGCACCGACGCCCAGGTCTGGCCACGAGAGATCGCCGAACGGCTTGTCCAGGGCACCGCGGCCCTGCGCCGACGGCTGCAACGACCGCGCGAGGCGCGTTATGTCTGCGGATGCGATGCCTCGGCAGCCTTTCGAGCAGTGGCCGCAAGGGCCACCGAGGGCGAAATCAGGAGCGCCATGGCCGCTGAGCGCGCGCGCTACACGGGCAGGGCGCGCCGCCCGATTCGCCCGCGAGTTCCCGAGATCTGGCCACTTGCCGGCATCCTCGCAGCGCTCCCATTGCACCGGGACTGCCCAGGCTGCCGCGAGGAGAAAGAAAGCGACGATCCCCGCGATTCGCCCGAGCAGGGGGATTATTTCTTCAATCGCGCGCCCCCCGCGGATTTGTTGATCGCAAGCTGGGGCCAAGGAGGGGGCGGCGCGAGCACTGCGTGCAGACAAAATGCGCCTCGACCTCACCCCCATGCTGTTCAACGGCTGTCCGTAGCGCAGTAAGTGGCTAGCCCAAGCGCGCCAAACCGTTCCCACGCTAGGACTTTCGACGCGACTCCAGCACGTTGAACGCGACATTCTCTACCACAGGGATCGCGTGATACTGCGCCCAGTCTGCTGCGCCGCAAGGTGGGGCACCGGCCCGGAAATCACGGACAGACGCGCGACTCGACGTTGCTGGCAGCAGTTGGCAGGTCATGGAACCATCATTTTGGATCAATGGAGACTTTCATCGTGGACGGCGAGGGCGGGATGACCTCGAGGACTTCGAAGTATTTCTCAGAGGAGCCTCGAGCGATCACAACCCACCCCCACACCCACCAAAATGATTGTCACATCTTTTCCGGAGTTTTTTGGGGTTCAGTCGAAAGGCCCCCAGGGCGACGATTGGGAATCGCGACGTTTCGATGTTTTCCTTTACGCTGGTTTTTCTTAAAAAGAAAGTTTTTTTTTGTTTTGTAAACATTTCTTTATTGTCATGCAGGTGCGCCGTTGCATGTGCGCGATGGCGCGATGTGGGCAATGTCTTGTGCGGTTCCGTGCGCCGCAGTTTTTCATCAAGAAGTTGTGGGTGTTTACGTGTTTACTAAACGCGGTAATGTATATATACATATACATACATACATACATACATACATACACACAAACATACATACACACATATATATATGTGTGTAACATGATTTGTTCGGTCCCCCCCCCCCCCCCCCCCCGGTTGCATGTTTCGCAAGTTGCCAGGGGCCTCTCTTGGGGCGCATGCAGCTGGCGACGGTCGTCGGGCCACAGGGTCTTGAGAGAAATTTCGAAACGCATGAAGTGTGACGTGGTGGGCAATGGGGGTGGGTGGGGTCGCTTTCAGAGATGCGGCGCAATGCTACGACGCGCTTTGCACACCTCCGAGGAGCAGGTGGGGCGCGAAGGCATCGCCGCCAACTTCGGTTCCACGCTGGCCTGCGTTATTTTTGCGGGCAACAGCCTCCCCCACATGGGCAACGCTACGCCGTGCAATGTTTGTCTGGCAGGCAGCGTTCCATGCTGCCACCGCTGGACACAGGCGAGGAGGATGAGGGCGACTGTTTCGCCAGGGCCGCGCATGCTGCCCGTGGCGAGGTGCAACCCAGACGACTGCAGTGACGCACCCGTGATGCTGCATTGCAGCGCATGGTCGACGCTACTTCGATCTCCTGCGTCAACCAGACCCTCCAGACACGCGCCACCGAGACCGGAGAGGAACGCTTCAACGAGAGTGATCAGATGCAGATCCACGGGCCCCCTGGACCCTTAGCAGGAAAGACGCGTCAGGTTGGGCAGGTCCTGGCTCCGTCCACTGTATGTGCGCGGCCAGAAGCAAGGTGGCGGTCAAGTGCCGTCACGCTGAGATGGTCTGTTGACTGCAGGGTCTGACATGCCCTTCCGAGAGAGGTTCGCGCGCCAGGTTTGGGCTTGAGCCGACGTGGGGGGCGTGCCGAAAGTCGTCGGCCAACCCGGGTGACGGCTGCTCGAGGATCTCGGGATGAAAAGGACGGCGGTCATTACAAACGGCGGTCAGCCAGAACGCCGGATCTCGCAGGATCCCGCGGATCGAGCAAGGGGCGTTTTGACCCGGACTTGGGCGCAGGATCCTGCAGGGTTTTGCAGGATTTTGCAGGGCCCTGTAAAGCCTGACTGTCCCGGGTCTGGATGGACCCGGGTCAGTAGATCTCCGAGGAGCGGTTGGCGACAGTTCTGGCCCATTGCTCCCGGACCTGCGACGGGGTGCTGTCTGAATCCGTGATCGATGCTCCTCTCGGGCTTGACGAAAGGAGAGGGATCAGGAATCTGAAACAGTAACTGTGTTAGCATGCCAGCCTTGTCTGCAAACTCCCATTAGATACCCTTTTCGCCCCGAGAGGCCCCGTGTGCGTTTCAGCTTCTATTGTTGCGATTATTGTGAATCATCTGCAGTTTCAGCGCGCATATTTGCCCCTCTCAGGTTCGTGCCGTTGCATGGCCGTTTCGCTCAAACCAGCTTGAGGGGCCCTTCTTGTAGAGCCGCCAGCCGGCGACGACATCAGATAGATAACTCAACAGATAAAGACCCACGGGCAAGCATATTATACACAGACAGATCAGCGATCTGAGATTGCCGGGCTCGAGGCCCGAATCATTATTCTGATCCCGCCGGGAGCTGCATGCGCAGGACTGAAGGCCGCGGCCACGCCCCGCTTGCGGCAGTAAAAAGAAGTCCGATCACATTGGTAGCGCACGTCGTGAAGTTCAGTTCTCGCCCCGATGTCGCACCCGCCCTCGGAACACGGAGACGAAGGGGGGAGCAGCGGCGCCTTGAGGAGGCGCCGTGGTCGGCGCGGCCGAGGCGGCAGCAGCGCATCAGACGACGCCGCCGACGACCCGCTCTACCCCCGCGGCCCCGCCCCTGGAGTCCGATGGCGCGGAGGTGCGCCGCCAGCGGCCCCGACTTTCTCGGGGGATCGCAGGGCGGACCCGCGCTGTTGGGAACACTGGCGTGATGCGGTGGGCGCGTGGAAGTTCCGAGTCAAGCGCTACCTGCCGCTCGCCGAGGCGGCGCTGCAGCTCAGAGATGCCGTCACGGGGGAGGCGCTGAAGGAGATCATCTCCGAACCGCCGATGACATGGGCCACCCAGGACGGCATCGAACGTTTGGTTGAGGTTATGCGCTCGCCCTTCGGCGAGGAGGAGATTTTCCACACGGGCGACCTGCTGTCAGCGTGCGAGAGGATCAAGAGGAGTCATGGTGATAAAATCCACGCCTACTGTGCCAGATACGTCAGAGTCGAGCGTGCGCCCAAGCAGGTCAAGATCAATATCGCCGAGTCTCTAGACGCCCAGGCTCGCGGACACCGCTTGCTGAGCACGGCGCTTCTCGGCGAAGAACATGTGCGAGGTATTCTTTGGGTTTCCCACAGCTACCACAGCTACGAGTTCGACGGGATCATGGGCGCCATCGGGCGCCTGTGCCCGGAGAGGGCGGCGGCGCCGCCAGTGGTCTGGCCGCGCCGCGAGAGGGCGCCGGGCGACAATCGCGAGCGAGGCCACGGGCAGGAGCTTGGCGGCGGCCCTCGGCGGCAGCAACCACCTGCGCCGCCCAGCCGCCCCGCCCTGCTGGACAGGCTGTCAGCTCCGCGGCCGCCCCCGCCTCGCCACGCGGTGAACGCCGCCGAGGCCGCGATCGAGGAGGATCAGCTCGGCGAGGAGGCTGCCGAGCACGAGGATGAGGCCGACGGCCAGCTAGATGACGATGAGCCCAATACAGAGGAGGCCGCCGACCAGGAACCCGCCGAGTTCGACGGAGTGCACGAGGCTATGACGGCCTTGAACGACGTTCTCAGCATCGCGTCTCAGAAGCTGATGGGGATCACTCAAGTTAGAGGTTTTTCTCACGCCAAGGGGAAAGGAGGCTCTCGCTCATCCGCAACTCGCCAGGGCGCCGACCAGATCGAACAGAGAAAGAAGACGGAGGCGTGCCTGGATTGCGGAGAGCTCGGCCGCTGGGCTGGGGACGCCGCCTGCAAGAAGTCAGGCGCCAAGCTCGGACCGAAGCCTTCCAGTTCTCGCGTTGGACTCCAGCAAAGCATGGAGGGCAGAGAAAACCGTTTCATACGTCAATGGTCTCTTCTTCATCCGCTTCCGTCCCTGCCAGCTCCGCTCATGTCACTTCGTCATCTACCATGTATGCCTGGATGATGTCTCAGTCAGTCTTCAAGGGCCTGGCAGTCGGAGATTCAATCGAGTATATCGACGAGTTTCACGGTAAGAGTTGGATGATTGCCGATACCGCGTGCCAAAGGATGGTCCATGGATCCGCTTGGGGGGGCATTCACGCCCAGAGGCTCGAAGACAGATCCCTGCCCCTCGTCAAGTGGGCCGTCCAGGAGAGGTTCAAGTTTGGTGAGGGCCCCGAGATCCACTCAGTCCCCCAATGGGGTTACCCGATAGGCATCGCAGGTGTGGCGCTCTGGGCTAGGTCTTCCGAGGTGTCGTCCGCCATCCCCCTACTGGCCTCCAACGAGTTCCTGGTCCTCTTGGGAGCCTCCATCAACATGTTCGTGGGATTAATCAGCTTCTTGGGGATCGGGGTTTACGACCTCCCGCTTCAGAGGGCCAGGAACGGCCAGCTCATCGTGTGCATCTCCGATTTCCCGAACGAGTTACCTGACTTCTCGGATTGGGACACCTTGGATGAGGACGTCACCCTACCCCCCGATGCGAAGATCAAATTTGAACACCGTCGAGTGCGACACCTCGAGCGAGTACAACTGAACCAGGGGACCTCGGCGAGCGAGTCTACCAAGATGGACGTACAACGACACCAGCGATGCGTGCACTTCGACATTGCCGACGACGGCCTAACCGAGTACGAGACCCCCGAGGGCACCATCGAGATCGAGCGATCCGAGTCGACTAGCCAGCCATCTTCGGTCAAGCAGCCCAATCCCAGCAGCTGCCAGCTTTCCATATCCGAGCCTTTGGCTCCTTCCATATCCAGCCAGTCCGCCGCAGCGGATGCGGTCACAGACCCGCGAGAGATGGAACCGACTTCTCATGCGCTTGTGGGCGGTCATCTACACGGCCCTGAGCGCAGGTCAGGCCTTCCGAGCTTCGTTGATGACGGGCCCGGGTTTTCGGAACGCGTTCCTGAAGGCGACGCCGCTCCTGGCTGCCTTCGTCAAGGGAAGCGCCGAGGGTCTGAAGGCGCACGAAGCCTACCTGGACATGAAGGCGCCCAAGAGACGCAAGCCGTGCGACCACCAGGACCCGACCGCCGGGGTCTCGACCATCATGGAGTACTGTGCGGGTCGCCATGGCTGGTGCGCCAGGTGCCAGCAGACGGCGTGCCAGATGAGGTGGAAGTGGATCGTCACCGACCCCCAGTAGATCGAGTATCCCGGCGACCTTTCCAAGTCATCGCGGGCATCCTCCTCGCGGCCGCCGCCGCTGTCACCGGCGGCCATAGCGGCGAGGAGCACCGCGTCGCCAGCAGCGCCGAGCGCATCATCTTCGAGACCCTCAGCCCCAGCACAGTCCATGACGGCGCCCCGCTGCAAGGTGATGCCCAAGCAGGCACCAGCCAGGCGCCGCCGCCCCAGGGATACCGACGCCATCATGGAGGAAGACGACTCGGACGGGGAGATATCCAACGAGGGCTTCGAGGAGCTCTGAAGCGTCGCATCGGCGACCTCAACCGCACCATCTCTGCGCTCGAGGTCGAGGCTCATGTTCGGGACGTCGTCGACAGCACCGCCCGACAGGTCAACGCCGAGGCGCCGCACCGCGCGCGCATCCTCGAGGGCTTCGCCGGACAGGGGAACATCGCCAAGCGCGCACTTCTTCGGCCTTGCCGCTCTGCAGCCCGTCGACCTCATCTACGGCTTCGACCTGGGCGCGGTCGCTGGTCGACAGAGGTGGAACGACGCAATCAAGACGTTCTAGCCGCCGGTGGTTATCATGGGTTTCCCTTGTACAAAGTGGTGCTGGTACAACTGCGCGATCGACTACCGTGATTTCCCCGACCTCCTCGCTTCCCTCCAGGACAAGGATCGGCCGCTGCTCACGCTTGTCGTCTGGACCGCTCTCGAGCAACAGAGGAGCGTCAGGCAGGTACTTCCTTCTCGAGAACGCCGACCGGAGCCAGGCGTGGGAGCAGCCCGAGTTCGACCCGCTCTGGAAGGACCACCACACCGTCTGGGGACGAGGCGACAACTGCCCCCACAACCTCAGGGCTCTCAACGGCGAGCTGATGCGTAAGACGCGGACGTGGGTAAGCAACCATCCCAAATTGCTGGAGTCGGTGACTCGCAGGTGCGATCGCAGCCATCGTCACGCTGAAGTTCAAGGGCGCGACACTTCCCGCTCTCAGGTATCCGCCGAGGAGCTCGCAGACAGCATCCTGACCGTCGTGCAGCAGATGGTTGCCGTCCGATCGCCCGCTTCGCTCGCCTGGACATCTAGCTACGACCAGTGCCGATACGAATGGCATCCTCAGGACAGCACCCCCGCGGACCACCACGACCAGCTCTACACCGCCTGGTTCGCCGACGTCGACCGCGACACCGACGAGTGGCAAGTTGTCCTCACCCAGACGATGCTCATGATGGAGGATCGGGCCCGCGACGCCTGGGAGCTGCTGCCAGGCCACGAGATCTACCAGCGCATCCAGGACCTCGTGCCATGGGAGCTCGTTCGAGTGCAAGCTGCCCGGGTACCAAAAGCGCGTAGGCATGCAGTCGACATCGTCTACCGCCATCGCGGCATGGCCGCCATCGCCCACGCAGGTAACATCATCGTCGAGACTGAAGCGCTGAAGGACGTCCAGTACCCGAAGCTCCGCTTCAGCGAGCCGATCGCCCTCGCTATCTTCTTCTTCGGGAACGCGCCTGAGTCGGCCAGCGCCGACGGCGAGCTGCCTTCCGAGGTGCCGCAGCCAGGACCTGCTGCTGCCCAAGTTCACCCTGAGAGCGCCGCGGAGCCTCCAGTGGAAGAGCCGGGCGCGCGTCCGCCGGCGCCGCCAGTTCAGGCTGCCGATCCCGACCTTTACTCTATCGCAGGGTGCCGCATTCAAGTTCCCTAACCTCAGCGATGACAAGTGCCCCCGCGAGATCAAGGCGATGGTCGCCCGCCTCCACTGTCATCATGGACACGCTGGCCGCGAAGATCTCCGACGTTTCTGCGCCTGGCAGGGGGCCAAGCCATCAGTTTACCTGGCAATCGACTTTTTGAAGTGCGAGGCCTGCGAGCGGACTCGCCCGCCAGCTAGGCCCAAGCCGATCTCCGCTACGATCCGGTACCTGGGTCAGTTTGGCGAACACCTCCAGGCCGACTTCTTCACTATCGTAGACGTCGCCAACACGCCGCACCACATGCTCGGTATCATATGCCTCAACACGCACCTCCACCGCGTGAAGCGCGCGGTCGACCGCTTCCCCGAGACAGCTGTGTCCGCCTTCCTGGAGGCATGGGCGTTACCGTTCGGCATGCCGATGGTCACCGCCGTCGACATGGACGGCAGCTTCATGGGCTATTTCAAAGAGCGGCTCGAGTCGTACGGGGTCAACGTTTCCTACTGCCCGCCCGACGCACATTGGCAGATCGGGACCGTCGAGAGGCATAACGCGTCATGGAGGTGGATTTGGAATCGGACATGCGACGCCTGCGCTGTGAAGACCGCCGAGGAGGTTGACATGGCCACCATGACCGTCAGCGAGGCCAAGAACAACGCAGTTCGTCGGGCTGGGCGCTCCGCCAACCAGTGCGCCCTGGGAAGGACTCCTCGTATTCCTGGTGAGTTGCTCTCCGACGACCACGGCCTTGCCGTCGCCGCCAACGCCACTAATTCGCAGCACGTGATGAACAACGACTTCTACCGCCTGGAGGCCAACATCCACACGGCCCACTTTAACTACGAGCAGCACGTGAGGAAGTCGCTCCTCCGGAAAACCAGTCACTTGCGCTACGACCTTGACAAGCTCATCGCAGGCCAGCAGGTTGGATGCTGGCGCCGGGACGCCAAGAAGCGCCCCAGCGGCAAGTCGTCGCGCCCAGGCTTCGTCATTGGCACCTTCCTACAATGGGACGGCGGACAACAAGGACACGGACTCGGCCGCAACGCTTGGGTCAGAGTCGGTCAGGCCATCAAGCTTTTCAGCCGCGAACAGCTTCGACCAGCCATTGGTTTCGAGCAGTGGGTACCCGACGCCCAGGACATCGAGGTTCTTAAGAGCAGCTACGACCTCATGAAGGACGACCTCTGGGAGGACGAGCGAGACGCCGGGCCCGCGCCCGACGACCTGGCGGAGGAGGCCGACATCTTCGTCGACGACGGCCGCAACCTTCTTCCAGGCCGCAAAGGACTTTTGCCTCCACAGCCTGCCGACGCCGATCTTCCTGGAGCTCAGCCCGTTCCAGTCGAGCCGCCACCAGCCGCGGTGGCCCCGCCTCAGCCAGAGGCGATTCCGTCCGAGCCGACGCCGGTCGAGACCGAGGTCCCGCGCACGACCCCCATGGGCGCGGAGGTTACCCAGGCCACTGACTCCGTCTCCGCCGAGCCGGACACGATCGAGACCGATCTGAAGGTCAGCACCCCCAGGTCGCCTCGCAGCCGATCCGCCGAACACGAAGTCCCTCCAGAGGCCGCCCCTCCAGACGAGAAGAGGCCTCGCGTGTCTACCTTGTGCCCAGGCTTGGCTGACGTCCTTCTGGGCCACCGAGGTCGGGGACGGGGCTGACGGCTCCGACGAGATGCCCGCCGTGGTCGCCAATGTCAGCCGCTACGCCGACTACGCGGACGAGATCGAGGTCATCTACGAGGTGAACGCCATCGTCGCCGACGACGGGCCCAAGCTTCCTCTGGTGCCAGACTCCGAGGACGACGAGCCTGCCGACCAGAACCAGGCCACCATGACGAGGGCCGAGCGGAAGGCCTACGACCGCGAGATACCCTGGCGCGAGATCATGAATATGGACGGCTCCACCATCCAGAGCTTCCTTGAAGCCACGCGCAAGGAGTACAGCAACTGGGTCAAGCGGGCGCCGATGGTCGCAGCGCCAGACGACGTCGCCAAGGACATGCTCAACACGCCCGAGATCCGCAAGAGCTGTATCCGGGCGCGATGCTGCTATCGTGACAAGAACTGCGGCCAAGGAGAGCTTGCCGCGAAATGCCGGGGAGTCGCCGTCGGTTGCAGCGGCCCGAGGCTCGAGGCGCTCGAGCGGAGGTCTCCCACTACGCAGCGCATCAGCTTCTTCACAGCATGCCAAATCCTTGCCAGCATGAAGATCTACGACCCAGAGGGCAACTGGACCGCCTGCGTCGGCGACCTCGAGAACAGCTTCTTCCAGGGCAGCCGCGAGAGGGAGGACATGGTCTACCTCATTCCACCGCGTGTCCCACTGGTCATCGCCACCGGCTCCTGGCCAGATACGTTGTACGAGGTGACCGGCAACATCTACGGTTTCGCAGACGCCCCACTGGTGCTGCGTCGTCACATTCGACGCAAGATGTACGATTTGGGTGTCGTAAGTCATCGCCTGGACGCGATGTGTTTTCTGAAGTTCGATAAAGGACGTTTATTGGCCATTGTCTTGTGGTACGTCGACGACATGTTCGCCGTATACGCCAACAGCCGTTTCGATTTCTCCCAGCGGGAGAAGGTTTTCGTATGGGGCAAGCTCGTGTATCTGCCTCAGGAGCTCGTGTGGTGCGGGCGTGAGATCAATCAGTACCACGACGGCCGAGTCGTCATCACTCAGAAGGAGTACATCAAGGGTTTAGAGGTTCGCCGCATCCCATCCAGCCGCATCCGAGAGGGAGGTTCCCTTACACCTGCAGAACGGACCGAGATGCGGAGCTGTATTGGAAGCGGTCAGTGGCTTTCGGGTATGTGCCGTCTGGATATTTCGTCATACGTATCGTTGTTGCAGAGCGAGGACCCCAGATTTCCGATCTTAAGGCGATGTACAAAACCATAGAGCACCTGAAGGACACGCCAGAGGTTGTGATCACGATGATGCCGTTACAGTTGTTTAACGATTCCGGAGATATCAATGCGATTACGGTTGCGTACGGTGACTCGAGTTGGGCCAACGCGCAGCAGATGAAGAGCCCGACCGGGGCGATGTTCGTTTGGGCCAATCGAGATGCACTCTCCGGGTCAGCACCTGCCCCGTTGGCCGATTGGAGAAGCGTGAGGACACAACGTCAAGTGAGGTCCACCTGGTCAGCGGAGGCTTGTGCCGCTGACGCAGCCGTCGATAGAGGATTCTGTGCTTCCGTGTATTTGTCAGAGGTTTTAACAGGCCGTTCATATATAGCCAACCGCATGGATGACCGCACGCCGCCTAGTGTGCCGCTTTATGCTATCACGGATTGTAAGAGTTTGTATGACTGTGTTACTAAAGAGAACCCCAGTTTGGACGAAAAGCGGGCGCTCCTCGATGTTCTTTCTATCCAGACCAGCCTCGGTCTAGGTTCGACGAGGTGGGTCCCATCCTCAAACATGATAGCCGACCCTCTCACGAAAGTATCCGATCAGTTGCGCGACAGTTTAGTTCAATGGCTCCGCGAGCCCGCCATCGAATTGTTCGGAGCCGTTGCCGCATCAGTATCAGTTCTTGCGTGATTTCTATTTCTGCCGTCAGACGTCTCTTGGAGTTTTCAGCCAACAGAAGAGAGAAACCAGTCTGAAACAGTAACTGTTTTAGCATGCCAGCCTTGTCTGCAAAATCCCATTAGATACCCTTTTAGCCCCGAGAGGCCCCGTGTGCGTTTCAGCTTCTATTGTTGCGGTTGTTGTGAATGATTTGCAGTTTCAGCGCGCATATTTGCCCCTCTCAGGTTTGTGCCGTTGCATGGCCGTTTCGCTCAAACCAGCTTGAGGGGGCTATTGTAGAGCCGCCAGCCGGCGACGACATCATATAGATAACTCAACAGATAAAGACCCACAGGCAAGCATATGATACACAGACAGATCAGCGATTTGAGTTTGCCGGGCTCGAGGCCCGAATCATTATTCTGCTCCCGCCGGGAGCTGCATACGCAGGACTGAAGGCCGTGGCCACGCTCCGCTTGCGGCAGTAAAAAGAAGTCCGATCACAAGGAAAGGAAGGGATGCGAAATCTGCGGCACGCAGCTGATTTCGACCCCACCGCCGGACCCACTCCTCGATGCGTAGGCGCCTCCCGACGCCAGGAGGCGCCAGGAAAGCCAGCTGCGTAAAGTGCTTTTCTGCTCTGCCCTTTGCTATCCTATCCTTTCGCCCCCCTCCCCCCGATCTTCCAGCCTGCCTGATCTCGGCAGGGGCCGTCGTGCAAACCTGGTACCGAGTTCCGATTTGGGACCACGCTGCCTTCTGGCGATCGATCTAGCTCACTTGCGGGAGCGCGACGTATTATCGTGCTTCGCGGGGCGCGATGCGCGAAGTCATGCTACCTATTCAAATATGTGATTGTTGTTCTTTCCTCCTGCTTTCTGCAGGGGCCGTTTCCTGGGCCTGGCTCCGGCGTCTGATTTGGGACGGACGCAGTGCCCCCCTGGGGATAGGATCTCAGCTTTGGTGCCTGCGGGTGGGACCAGATCAGTCCGCCAGAGGTTCTGGGGCATATCGGGGTCAACATTGTTTGACACCCCTTCTCGTTGTCCTCATCTTTCTCTCTATCTTTTTGTCTGGTCAAGCATCGAGTTCTGTTCCAGAGGCGTGCGCGTCGTTTCTCTTTTCTTCTCTACTCGTCCATTCGGGACGATGGGACAAGCCCCTCGGGCTGACGTGGGCGGAGGCGAGTTTCTCAGATAGGGGGTCCAGCGCGAGCCCTGTCCATGGCTCCTGGCCTGTCCACGACGGTGCTCTGTTCGTGGCGATGCCCTGGCATTGTCACATGCCGTGTCCATGGCGGTGATTGTCGCGCACTTGGGCTGCAGTTTTGTGGTCCTCCGTAGAACGTGTTGTTGCAGTGTCGCCTCCTCCTCCTCGCTCTCCTCCTCTTCTTCCTCCCCTAACATCCCCTGCTCCTGCTCCTGCTCCTTCTCCTTCTCCGCTTCCTCCTCGTTCTCATTGACCTCCTCCTCCTCCTCCTCCTCCTCCTCCTCCTTCTCCTCCTCCTCCTCCCATCGCATCACATTATCGTCATCGTCACGGAACTTGTTTTCCTGTCTTTGGGCCGGCTTGCCGCCCTCTTCTGCCGCAGTGCTCATCCTTTGGGCGATGTTCTCGCTGGTCAGGCTGACGTTCAATTACCGAAGGTCCCTTTGCATCAAGCGCCGGCGGGGATTGGAGGAGGATGATGAAGGGCACTGGAGGGGGATTTCGAGGTGGATGAGGAGCAGGGGCACGAGCAGCCAGAGGCAGGATGTAGATGGAGCAGCCAGACGACAGGACGCCGGCGACTGCCCGCGCGTTGCCAGAGAGATCTCCGCGGGCGGGGCTGATGAGAAAGTAGGGACGGGGCGAAGGGGAGGGACGCGCGAGTGCCCTCCCTGGCCAAGCAATTCAGCACTTGTCTCGCCAAGGTGAGTCCCGCCGTCGGGGGCATGGTTCCGTGCTGTCCCGCAGCCCGCGGTCGTCCCTTGGTTGTCGCGGGGTTGTCCCGTGGCTATCCCGCGGTTGCCCTTTGGTTGGCCCCTTTTGGTTGTCCCCGGGGTGCTTGCCCGTGGTTGTCCTGCAGTTGTCCCAGTGTTGCCTCGTCTATACATATATATATATATAGAGAGAGAGAGAAAGAGAAAGAGAGAGAGAGAGAGAGCAAAAGAGAGAGAGAGAGAGAACAAACAAAAAAAGTGATCAATCGAAGACGCCTACGGCGGATCACACCGCCGCCCCCTGCCTTTGGCACGCTATCGGACTGTGTGTTCCACCAGCCGTTGTGGAAATCATGCGGGCAACACTTGAAGAAGGAGAAGGAAGAGGACGAGAGGGAGGAGAAGGAAGATGAGGAGGAGGAGGAGGAGGAAGATGAGGCCTCTTGAGAGCTTTTGGGGCACTCTTGGAGCCTCTTGGGCGCCTCCTGGGGGCCTGTTGGTGGCCTTTTGGAGCCCCTCCCCAATCAGCGAGTGCCGCACTGGTTTTTCCAAGTCGTATGAGTGCGACAGAGCGGACCAACACGCGATTCGGTGATGTGGGATGTTGCGTGCATTGCGGAAAATAGCGCAGCACGCAGCACATGTTTTATACCGTGTGGAGCAATTCACGATGCAACACGTGTACGTAGCAACCTATTGTGCTTTGGCGGATGCCGTGCCGTGTGTTGCGTCGTGGGTCCACCACCTCGTGTTTCGGTGGGAGCGGTACCGTGTTGCGCCGTGTCTTGCCTTGTATATGTATGCGGTATGCCATCTCTTGCCGTGCGCAGTGAAGCTGTGTGCGTCCTGCAGTGCGGCGTCGTGCCGTGTCCTTGTACTTGCATGTGTGGTCAGGGGTGTTTTGGTGGGGTGACTTGCATCGGCAAATGTTTTTTACACGAAGCTTGTATAGACTGTGCTCCACGATATATATATATATATATATATACACATAATATTTAAGGTTCGTTGCGCTTTGCCTGTCAATATTGTTCCTTTGCTTGCGGTTCGCATTTCTCGGGGCCCTCAGTTTGCGTCTGCGATTTGTGGGAATTTCAAGAAGACGCAAGGGACGGCGCGCGACTTGCGCCCCGCGCATTCTTGAGAAATCATATCACGTTATTGCTTCGTTCTCGAAGGACGCTACGACGTCTTCTGCATTGTGCGTGAAACTGGAGTACGCAGTACGTCTGGAATCGCGGTGTCTATGGAATAGAACACTGGCGCTTGTCATTCGTGGGCCGCTTCAGTAGTGCTCTGTTTTTTCAATCCTCTTTTGCCTTTCCCGTCCTCCTCTCGCTCCTCGTCCCCTCATCTGCATGCCCCTCTTTTCCTCATCCCCCAGAAAGCCTCCAGAAGGCCCCTCAGGAGCCCTGCTGGACATGTGAGGGTCTTCGTGGACTGCGTGGGGCCATCTGAGGCTATCTGGGAGCGCGTTTGAGCTGTCTCTTGGAGCCGTCTTGGACCTCTTTATATACGTCACTGTTCGCTCTTAGGAGCTTCTTACGTCATTGCTCGCTCTCGGTAGCCTTGGTGTTCAGAGCTTTTTACGTCACCGTGCGGGTGGGAATTGAAACAGCAGGGTGGAGAGCGCGCTTCTGGTGAATATGGCGGAACAGGAGACGGAATAGGAGAACGTGAGTGAGGAGTGTGTTGGAGGAGTAACGAGGAGGAAGTGGTACGTTGTTGTTTCTTCTTGGGGGCTTTTCGGGAGCCTTTTGGAAGCAGGTCGGGGGCTCCTCTGATGTTTGTTGGTGTATCGATGGGCTCCTCGAGAGCCGGATCGAGGTCCGCGGTAGCCTCTTCGGAAATGTCGGCTAGGACGTGGACGCGTGGCCTCCTCGAGGCTTCTTGGGGTCTTCTGGGGGGGCGCTCGAGAGCTCGTCGAAGCATGTGGGGACTCGTGGGGCCTGTCTGGGGCGTGTCCGGGAGCCTCTTCGGGACGTCGTGGGGGCCCCCTTGGCGTTCCTGGGCGCATGGAGGCGCCCTTCCCCCGAGCCCCGACGCCCACCCATGGCGTTGCGACGGAGTGCGCTTTCCTCATGGCCCTTGGGCCCTCGAAGACCGCCCCGCAAATTCTGACAGGGCTCTCCACGTTTTTCTACATGCAACCTGTTCCGCATCCCCACGCTGCACGGAGGTCCCAGAGGACGCCCAGAACGTCCCCCGAATCGGCCTCAGAGGCTCCCAACCTTGTTCCCAGATGGCTCCGCATGGGAGGGTGGGCGCGCCCCAGTGGGGTCACAGAGCGGCCAGGGGCGCTCCAAGATCCCTCCTGCGACGCCGACGATAACCCCAAGACAGCCCCCCGGGCGACTTCGTCGACACGGCATGCTTCCAATAGGTCTCCCTGGAGGGCTCTTTGGAGCCTTACTCCTTGTTCTCCCAACGTTTTTGTTTTTTTCCTTTTTTTTCTTCTTCTCCACGCTTTCACTCATCCAGCTTGTTCTGCGTCCCCACGCTGCACGGCAGCCCGAGAGGACGCCCAGACCGATGTGGTTCGGACCCCTGGGGCTCCCAACCGTGATCCATGATGGCTCCGCTTGGAAGGGCCAGCGCCCCCAAGTAGGCTCCACGAGCCGCCAGAGTCGCTTCCAGTCCTGCGCGACGCCGACGATCGCAGCCCCTCGAGCGACTTCGTCGACACGGCATGCTTCCAAAAGGCCTCCCCGGAGGGCCCTCTGAGGTCTTGCTCCGTGTTTTTCTCCCCCTGGTTTTAGCCCGCGCTTTCATTAATCCAGCACGTTTTGCATCCCAACGCTGCGCGGCAGCCCAAGAGGGCGCCCAGACCGACGTGGCCCGGGCCCTTGGGGCTCCCAGCCGCGATCCAAGACGGCTCTGCTTGGGAGGACCAGCGCCCCCAATTCGGCTCCACGGGCCGCCAGAGTCGCTTCCAGGCCTGCGCGACGCCGACGATCGGCCCACGACAGCTCTCCAGGCTACCTCGCCAGCAAAAGAGGTTTCCTAGAGGCTTCCACCAGGGCCCCCAGAGGCTCAAATCTTAGTTTTTCCAATGGTTTCTCTGGGGCTTCTGGCCACCCAGCCTGTTATTTTTCTCGACGGTGCAAGCTCGTCCTAAAGGTCCCCAAGCTGAAGCGGCGCCGACGAGGAGCCCCGAACACCCAACGCGGCCGATTCGGGCCACGAGACAGGCCTGGGGGCCTTTGCGGTCGCCAGGGGCGGCCTGGACACTGCTGATTGCATCTTGACGTCCCACGACCGAGCCAAAGACCTGTCACAGAGCTCGAAGGACGGGGAGGAAAAGGAGGACGAGGACAAGGAGGAGGGGGAGGAGGAGGAGGAGGAGGAGGAGGAGGACGAGGACGAGGACGAGGACGAAGACGAGGACGAGGACGAGGAGGACGAGGAGGAGGAGAGGAACAGAAGGCAGAGGAGAAGGTGGATGAGGAGGAGGAGGAGGAGGAGGAGGAGGAGGAGGAGGAGGAGGAACAACCACGAAGGAAAGGGGGTGGGGGTGGGGGTGCCTCCCCCTCTGCCTTGTCGTCGTCCTCCTCCCCCTCCTCCTCCTCCTCCTCCTCCTCCTCCTTTCCTCCTCCCCCTCCTCCTCCTCCTCCTCCTCCTCCTCCTCTTTCTAATATTTCTCCTCCTGCTCCTGCTCCTGCTCCTGCTCCTGCTCCTCCCCCTCTTTCCCTAGGTCCTTCTGCACCTGCTGTTGCTGCTGCTGCTGCTGGCGCTGGTGCTGCTGCTGCTGCTGCTGTTGCTGCTGCTGCTGCTGCTGCTGCTGTTGCTCCTCCTCCTGCTCCTCCTGCAACTCCTCCTGGAGTCCTCTCCCCCCCAGCTCTCCCCCATCCTCCTCCTCCTCCTCCTCCTCCTCCTCCTTCTCCCCCTCCTGTTCCTGCTTCTCCTCCTGCTCCTACTCCTGCACCTCCTCCTTTGATGCTGCTCCTCCTCCTTTGCCGCTTCTCCTCCTCCCCCTCCTGCTCCTCCTCCCCCTCCTGCTCCTCCTGCTCCTGCTCCTCTGCCTGCTTTTCCTGCTCTTGGCTTTCCTCCCCCCCCCCCTTCCGCAACCCTTCCCCCCGAAGTCTGGCGCAGCCGTTTTACCATTCTCAAAGCGCCGCGGGCGTGGCTGCCCGAGCGGAGGCCGGGTGCTGGCCGCGTGTTGCTGCTAGGCCTCCAGCTCCACCTGCCTTCCTCGACCTTTCAGCGGATGGCCGTTAGAGACGCAGGTGCTTGGCCAGCAAGGGGGGCCATTCGACTTCAGCAGGGGTTTGGAGACCGATTTCGAGTCCATGCCGAATTTACAGTATCTCCTGCGCCGGGCTCCCTGGGCCCCCCCACCCTTTTGCTGCAGCGGGCGGGCGGGCGACGAGGTTAAGGAGGGGGAGACAGGAGCCAGGCGGAAGATGAGGAGAACAGGAGGAGGTCGGTGGTGAGCCATTGGACTGTTCTAGTCTTTCCAGCCCGCGTCTCGCTTGCCCACCCTCCTCAGGCTGCCTGAGCCCGGAAGCTCTCAGAGGATGGTTTCAGGAATTTATTCTCCACGGGGCCTTTCCGATATTTCGGAGCCTCGCAAACGCGGGGGGCGCGATGGCCCCGGGCGACCCTTCCCGGAAAAGATCCCCCCCGTAGCCAATGGCGAACCTGCCGCAGGAGAAAAGTTGATGGGGCGCCGGGGTTCTGGAGGTCCCGATTCATGGCGCGGGGGTTGTCGTTTCACGCCGAGGTGCGCCCCTCTTGGTCTCCGGGCCCGATGGCGCAGGCGAGCCCCGAGGATCCGGGGGCGCAGGGCGGGGCTAACCCGGACCCCCGACGTCGCACTGCTGCCGACGTCGTCGCCCCGAGAGCTGGGCCCGCGATGGGCGCGCTTTCCATCGCGAGGGTTGCATCGGCGCCCCCGCGGCCCGTCGAGGGCCTCCGGGGGCCGAAAAGGGGCCGACCATTTCCCGTCGTGACTTCTCACGACTCGCGGAGTCTCTGCCCTCCTGTTCCTCCTCTTCCCCCCGAAACGCTCTGTCCTAATTCCGCCTCGGCCGCCTCCTCCGTCTCGTCTTCCACTTCGTCCTGTCCGGCCCCCCCCACCCCCTTCCTCTCCCGATTTCTGTTTAGCCTTCCAATCCTGGCGCTGTCCTCGCCTCGCGCCTGCGCTTCCAGTTCCCTCCCGCGTGCTAGCTGAGGCCTTCTCCCCCCCCCCCGCGGCCTTGCCCTTTCCCTGCGCCCGCTTCGCCCCGCCGCGGCAGCTGGCGCGCCGTGGCCCCCAGCGTTTCGGAAGCGCCCGGCGCCCTCGCACGCGCGGGGGCCGCGCGCGCGAGAGCCCGCTGCGGCGCCCGTGGTTGTCAACGCTGCCTTCAAACGGCCCAGCGAGGCGCCCAGATTGCACAAACTGCACCCGCGGGGGCCCAGGAACACCCCGAGGCATCTGAAGCTGGGCCCAGGACGGCCCAACTGGCCGACAAAACGGCTCCAGACACTTCCGCAGGGTCTCCGCTGCGGCCGCGCGCGGCGCAACGCGCGACGAGCTCGCGGAAGTTCCAGTTGTTCCTTTTCCTATTCTTCTTCCTCCCCGCAGTTCCAAGTATTCATTCAGTTCGCGCTGCTGCTGGCGCTGCTGCTGCTGCGCATTTCTCCTCCACCTCCACCTCCTCCTTCCGCTCCTCCCCTTTCTTCTCCGCCGCCGTTTCTCCTGCTCCTGCACCTGCTCATGCTCCTCCTCTTCCTCCTCCTCCCCCTGCTCCTCCTCCTCCTCCTCCTCCTCCTCCTCCTCTTCCTCCTCGTCCTCCGCCGCCTTTTTCCTCCTGCCGGCAGCGAATCGCGAGAAATCCAAGGCTCCTGGGGGGTCGGCCGCCAGGGCCCTTTGAAACGAGATCCGCTGTCGATGGCACTGTTTGCCGCGGCATTTTTTTGGCGCCATGATGCCGCGATTAGAACCTAAGCGCGCGCGTAGCGCGCGCGTGGTTGTAACGAACATGTAAATATGTGCAATGCGTGTAATTAGTAACCTCATGCCCGTGAGAATAAACACTAGGGGATAATAAAGTTCGGGGTTCAGGGAGAGATAATAAAAGTAGCCCAGCAGACCTCAGCATAATCTCGAAGTAAGAGATGATCAAGAGGAGACCAAGCCGAGCACGTTTTGAGACATCCTTGGCGTTTAGTTTTCATAGAAATATCATCAACAATGGCTTATCTCTCATGCATTTTTTTTGTAAGTGCTCGTGTAGGGTAGCTCATGTGCCTCAATTTCCATGGATAATCAACCCCAGGGATACAACAGTTCAGGCGAGCGTGGGGACAGAGATAAATATAAAAGAAGAAGAATACAGTAGACGAATACTAAGAAAGAAGAAGGAGAGGATACTAAGAAGAGGACGAACAAAGGAAACATCCACAGTTCCAAATCTATCAATTTTAATTTACACGCGCTTTATGAAAATTGAGTTGTTTAAGTGCTCGTGTATGGTAGCTCATGTGCTTCATTTTCCATGGATAATCAACCCCAGGGATAAAAAAAGTTCAGGCGAGCGTGAGGACATATAGAAATATAAAAGAAGAAGAGGAACGTAGAATAATGATAAGAACATTGCTCGTTTCGTTTGAGTTTGCCTCCCAAAATTATTGGTTTCGGTTGACACATCCTGAAAAAGTGTGATCGCTTCGCTTGATGTTGCTATATCAACATCTCTTGATGTTGCTATCTCAACATAGCGTTTCGAGGTGATAATGAAGTTCGGCCTCAGCGCTCGCCGCCCAATTTGAATTTTGTATAGGGCGACGATAATCAACTCTAAACACTGAAGGGGGGTCCCCTTATTATCATCGGCATGCGGTTATGTATATATACAGTGACATGTTGGGAAAGAGTTGCGGGGAATATAAATATGGACACACGCATACATATATATATATATATATATATATATATGTGTGTTTACATCTATACATGCATACATACACGCACACTTACGTTTACTGTCAGAGGAACGTAGATCCATAACCAGAGAGAGAGGGAAACACACAAAGATAACTAGAGAGAGGGAGAGAAAAAGAGAGAGGGGGAGAAAACAACGGGATATAGTTGCAACGGTACAAGCGTCGAAGCGCACGATGAGAGATAGAGAGAGAGAGAATCGGAGAGAGAAAGAGAAAGAGAGACAGAGAGAACGAGAGAGAGAGAGATAATGATAGCGAAATGGAGACAGAGAGAAAGAGAGAAAGAGAGAAACATAGGCAGGAACAGGGCGAAGGAGAGGGGCAAGAGAGGCAGAGAACGCGCGAGCAGCGGTCGGTCCCCAAGGTTCTTCAGATTTGCCGAGGAAGAGTCGGTGTCCCTGGACGACCTGCTGGGTTCGTCCGCAGTCAACAACGAGGCGCGCCTGCGCGCTCGGGGCCTTCTCTCTCGCGGGCGCCGCAGAGCGCGGCACGACGCCGGCCCCGCACCTCGGGGGTACCGCCGGGCTCCGCCACGGCCGCAGCGAAACCCACGACTCTCAGGCCCCAGAGACGGAGAAGGAATCGGAGGCATCGTGAATGGGGGGGGCGCTCACATCACAACGGGGGGTGTTTCGCAATCTTTGGCTGCAGTGGGCCCAGACAGGGTTTCAGGACCGTGAAGCAGACATTGGATATGAAGAGCTGGTACCAGGGAAGGGGTCCAGACCTCTGGGGGTCGACGTTGTGAAAGTATCACGACGTCGGGGGTCTGGGGGGGGGTGGAAGTGAAAGGGAAAAGGCCTTTCCGGAAGGCGGCGGGGCTTGTCAGAAACCCTACGGCCAGCTGGGAGGTGTTCTGCGTCTTCGGGGAAAGACTTGGCAATTCACCCGTGCGAACCAACCCGAGTGTTTTTAGGTATGCCACGTTCTGTTCCTTGCGGGAACGCACCGAACCCCAGTCGTCCATTCACCGCCGAGAGGGGCCCGATATACCGAAGCAGAGAGGACGCCATAACCAGAAACTTTTTGGCGCTCCGCGCGGATTTCTCGGATCCTCGCCCGGGTCCCCCCAGCGGCGCCTCTGGCGCCGCCCTTGGCGCGCTCCGCGAGCCAGGGAGGGGGGGCCCGGCGCAGATCCAAGAAATTCGCGCGGAGCGCCAAAAGTTGTTATGTATGTCGTTATTGCTTCTTCTTTTTCGTCTTCTTCTTCTTCTTCCTCTAGAGAAGGGCCGGATGTAGCCCTCCGCGACCCAGAGCCCGTGGTTCCGCAGTCCAGCCGACGGTTCCGGCTCGATGTTCCCCCGGTGAGCCAGCCCCATTCTCATATTTCCCTTCAAAGAAGAGGGGGAGGAGAAAAACGGTCCCTGACCTTGCAGGAGGGCAGAAGATAGCACGAGGACTTATGACTGTGAGATCCACCGAGGTCTGAAGCAGGCCAGCCAGGCTGACAGGTCTGGGGGTTAGCTACTTCTTTACCGCTTTAACCTCCACGGCTGAATGGAGGAAAGTCGGGAATGAGAAAGAAGAGGTGGAGGAGAAGGGAGGCGAATGCTGCGATCTGAATTATCGAAGTCCAGCAAAACGGAAAAGGGAGGAGGAAAAGGAAAGGACGGGGCGGCGGATGATGAGGAATGAGAACAGGTTGCCTGCCCCTCATCGTGCATACCCCTGTTGCCCCCCCGGAAGTCCGCAGAGTAAAGCTTCGAGAGACCCCCCAAAGCGCCAGGCAGATCAAACCATTGCAAGATTCGAGTATGTATGTTTTGTTTCTCGTGGTTCTCCTTTTCATTTTCTAGCGCAAAAGAGCCAGAAACTCTCCAATCCTCCATCCTCGATATTCCTCTATCCTCCTCCCGCTTCTCTTTCTCCTCCACCACTCCCTCCTCACGATGGTTCAGCCGCCCCCCCCTCTGCTGGGCCAGGCGCTGGTGCGGCAGTTGGGCGTCAACAGCGAGCAGCTGCTCAGACTGGCGACCGGAGGGAGGAAGAGGCGGTGGTGGTATTCCGCGGACGATATGCATGCACCGTAACGCGTTGGCGTTACGACCCAGGAGTGGTACGTTGCACAGTGTGTCGGCCCTTAGGAGCCCAAACATTGTGCACCGTACCACGTTGGAGCGGGGCCAGAACGGAGTCCAGGCACGGTACGGTGCATGGGCGCCGTTCTCGCACGCGTGGCCAGGCAGCCGAGCACAGGGCCCACCCGCATCGTCTGGCCGCCGTGCTCTCACAGGCTTGCACAGAGTACGGCGGCCCAGGCTCTGGTCGAAGCAATGGCGCTCCTCCTAAGCTTAGGTCGGGCGTGTCCCTCTACAGGACGAATGTCAAACAAATGTTTAAAACATAGAGTCTTGGGCCGATTTCTGTTCTAGTATTTTGACCATGTGGGAGTATTGTTGGACTATTTGCTATTCTTCTCCCCAAATCCGTCTGTAGGGGGACATACCCGACCTATCCTAGGCCTCCCCCATGGGGTCAGATTAGACGTCGTCATAGGATCGCGCCACATCGGCGATGCATCTGCGATGCGGCCCCATGTGGAGCCCGATTTCCTTCACCACACACAAACACACACGCACACACGCACACACACACACACACACGGAAGTCTAGACCAGGGTTTTTGGTTGTGAGTGCATTACACAGGCGTCTCGAGCGGGCGCCCCCTCCCTATGGGGCCCCAGCTCATGTTTTTTTGTATCCGAGGCGGCCACCAGCGTACTACGTAAAAGCACAGGCTTTCGGATCATCGAGTCGCCAGAGCTGCATTCCCAGCACTGCCCTCGAGTGCCCAGAGCCAACCGTAGGCAATCTCGCTCCCGACTTCTGCTCCTGGGGCTGATTTTGAATGTCCAGATAGGGGGCCACATGCGAACCCTACCCCTACCCCCCGCGATTTCTGAGGGGGAGGGTGGGGGTAGGGTTCGCATGTGGCCTCCTGCCTAGAGCCCGCTGTAGGCCACTGCGGGCTTTGCGTGCTCCCAGAAGTGTGCTCGTGGGGCCCAGGGCCAGCTGCAGGCCATTCGAGGCTTTCCGTGCTCCCCAAGCTGTGTTCCTGGGGGTCGAGCGTCGAGAGCCAACTCTAGGCCGTTTCGGGCTCCTCGCGCTCCGAGTTTGCTTCCCGGGACCGGTCTCGAGTGTCGGGAGCCAATTTTGGGCAACTGCGGGCCCGCCGTGCCCCCAGAGCACATCTCTTGACAATTAGTTTTCTCTCGTTTTCTGGCATTCAGGGGGTTCTCTGGCATCCCTGGCATCCCTGGCATCCATGCACAGGCCCCGCTGTTCTCACAGTTTCACAGGTCCCACGGGCCCCTCAAGTCGCACACGCCCTACGGGCCGCTCAGGTCCCACGGGCTTCACAGGACTCAAGGGTCCCAGAGGTAGCACAGGTCGCACAATTCCCAGAGGACTTAAGTCCCATACGCCCCACAGGTGGCACTGGTTTCAGAGCTTCCGCAGGTCGCACGAGTCCAACATGTTCCACAGGCCCCACAGGTCTCACAGGTCGACTAGTTTCTAAGTGTGCCACAGGTCCCTTAAGTTGCGCATATCCCTAAGGCCGCATAGATTGCACAGGCATGCTGGCACCCTGGCATCCTCGCATCCCTGACATCTTTGTGTCCTGGCATCCCGGCTGCCTGGCGTCCTAGCATCCTGGCATCTGGGCGTCGTGGGATCATCTCCATCGTTACTTGGCCATTGCCACGCACATGCACACAAAGGAGATTATCGCGTGGGGTCCCACCGTAGGAGTCATTGGTAGTGGTCGGCCTTCAAGGGGTCCCACCAGGCCCAGGTCACAAAAGGGACTCGGGACGAACAGGCTGTCCTGGGGAGGGGGGGGCCTCAGACCTGAGAGGGGGTCCACGCCGTGAAGCAGAAGCGCCGCGTGTCAGAGATCTTGGAGGGAGCCCTGGAGGGTGGGGAAGGCGGGGAGGGAGCCGAGGCGGGGTTCGAGCTGAATGGCGGTCTGGCGATCTCGTGGACCGTTCTCGTTCTGCTTCCGTCTTGCGGCATGGGGCGGACGGGCGGCAGAGCGAGGGAGCACGAGAACATGGCGAAGTCGAAGAGCACGGCGGAGCCGGGGCCCCGAGGGGGCCGAGGGAGGGGAGCACGAGGGTAATTACAGAGCGAGGGAGGGAGGTGGGGAAGTTCGGAATCTCGAGGGAGGTACAGTCGACCCGCATAGCAGTGATGAGCGGCTTTCCAAGGTTGTCTTGCATTCTTGCCCCTTCGGCCCATCCTCAGCGCCTTCCGCTGGCCAGCCTCGTTCGAAAAGCGCTAAGATGGCCCTCATCGACTTAGACCCTTGCATCCTTGCAGCCTTAC